CTCGATCATGCAATCATCGTAACTCGACAGAGACGCGCGGGGACCGTTTTCGATCGTGGCTTTTCGAGTTTAATGGCCGAATCGTTTCCTGCAGGATCGCGCGATTAGTCCGCTCCATTAGAGCGTCAACGATTAACGCCGCTCCACCGACGAGGAGAAAATCGCGAAGGGGGAGGAATCTTCTCGCGTGGATCCGTATCGACAGAATAGTTTTCCAACGCCTATGGAGGAGAAAAAAAAAAAAAACAAAAAAAGAACGTATGCGGAGGCGCTTTATTGCCGATCGTAAAAGTGGATCAACCGCGATTTCGTTACCCGAGAACACGGAATATGGAAGAACCATATATGATTTTACAGTGCTGGTTCAACGTTCCTTCCTAATAATAGAAAAATTCAATTTCGTTGGCTTTCGATTAACGGTGTATCGATCTCGGGGCAACTAATAATTTCGACATGGAATCACTCGATTGGTACGCGTTGGCCAATTCAAATACGAATTTCAACGTCCCAATTTCGATAGTAATATCGCAATGGACGAGTTGATCACCGTTTTATCAAACCGTCGAATCAGTTACAACGTTTCGAATCGGATGGTAATAAGGATTTACATTTGGGACGAGAAAATTCGATTAGCCTATCGCGCTTTCTATCGTTCTATCTCGTGGGACGAAATTCAAAAATTCTCATATCGTGAACACGCGGTTTGTAAATTTTACCGAATCTATCAATTTTGTTGTTTGAAAATTGAAACGTGGAATTTAAATAAAAAAAAAAAAAGAAAGAAAAGAAAAAAATAGATTTTCCTTCAACAGATCTGTTTCGTGTATTAATTCTGGAAAACGCAACTATTTACAAATATTGTTCGATAATTTCGAGAAAAGAAATTAATTAAAGTCGTCTCAATTTTTCTTTTAATCGAGCTTATTTTCCATAAATTATTCTTCTTAAAAAGTATCGGAGAGATTAAGATTAACCGGGTCAAAAATGATTAATTTTTTTACCAGGAACGATCATATGTTATACGACACATTGTGTATCGTTTTAAAATTTCACTGTTTCAAGCAAATTTCAACGCGAAAGCGGTAAGTCTATTCTAATGGCTGTACCCAGAGAAATTTAAAGGCAAGCTGGCATGGAAGAAGCAAATTACCTTGCATTACGCGTTACCGCTAACGACACTCGATGTTGCGGAAACAAACAACGTTCGTGGAACCTTTCTCGAATCGAAAGACCGTTCCGATAACGGTCAAGTGTAATTCAGAACTGTCCTCCAGAAAGATATTCCGGATGGCTTTCACTTGGCTGACCAACGTAACGGGTTGCCGATTACGCTCGTTTCTCGCTGGTAACGGTAGAATTTTCGATCGGAATCTGGATCGAGATCACGTCCGATCCGATGTAAGACGGTTGAAAAGTGAAATTGAGAAGAAAGAGCGAATGTATGCTACTTATGCATTCTACCAAAGCGATCGTTCGTTATCGTTGGAAAGTATCTGGTTATGATGTATAAAATATCTTTGACAGAGTATATTTGGAAATTAGAAGTGTAAAAATCTTATTTGCAATAGATTCTCGTAAAATTATTAATTTTGAAATATCTAGGAAGTGATAAAAGGAAAGAATTATTAATAATTATTCTAACATCTGTTAATTATCTATATACTTAACTCTTTATCTAACTATCTATCTATGTAATTATCGGATACAAAAAGAACTTTTTCTGAAGAACAAAGTAAAATATAAATTAAACGATAAATCTATCAATATGTGGAATTTCGGAAGAAGGAAGAAAAAAAAAGATTTCTTAAAAATAATCGGAAATCATACAGATATGGATGGATTCGGGTTGTTTATATGGACAGTGTAATAACGTAGTAACGATATTTTATCAGAAGAAAGAACGTTGAAATATTCGCGGTGCAATCGCAACACTCCGCATTCCAGGCAGAAAATTACGGTACTATAAATCAGAAAATGTTGCGGTGTACCAAACGCCGATATCGTCGATACGCGAAACCAATTTTAATATTCCGCCGAAAAACACGATTATTGACCAACCTTTTTTCCCTTTATTTCGTTAACAAAGAAGTATTAAAAAAAAAAGAAAAAAGAAAAAAAAGATCTAACAAGCTTTCGAGGAAAGTTCGGTTAATATTTTCGTGCGTTTCTTCTCCATGTTTCTAAATAATTTGAACGAAGCCTGTTGAACGTTGAAAATTTTTATGCAACGATTATTTTAATCCTCGATGGACGAAATAACCCAGATAAAACGAAAAAATTCCACGTGAGATTTTTCACGCGTATCGAAATTTTGGAATTTTTTTTCCCCCCAACTTTTTAAATTTCACTGAAAAATAAATAACATTGAATCAATTTTTAATCAACTTTGACACTCGATCATAATCGAAACCGGTTTGAAATGTTCTCGCGATTCGCGCGAGAAAATTTACGTTGTGTTTGCCAATTTGTCAGCAAATTACGATCGAAACGATCGACTTGACGTCGAAACGCGTCAAAAATAAATTCACGCAAGATTTATTCACAGATTTATTCACCGATTGCTTGGAAGACGAACACATTAGTAACCAGAGACTTGAACACGTGGGTTCATTCACGAGGCAGTAAACACATCAGTCAATCTTTCGTACCGTATTAATGTGTACGGGATAAAACGATCTCGAATGCAAATTTAATGCAGATTAATGCAAATTTTGCGATGTCATCTTATCAAACCGCGTGAAATACATTCAGGATTTTCAGGATATTCAGGATTTTCGAAAATATACGAAATGGAAGCCATTGAGAAAATTTTCCAATTCCGATTATCCAATTTTAAAACAGAAAATAATATCTTGCTATATCGAAATGAATATATAGTATTGTTACGAATCTATCGATTCATTAATTAACGCCAAAGAAATTTCGAAAATAAAATAATCGATTAATGGAATTAATCATCAGTCAGTCGTTTAATTAATATCAATCATCGATTAATAACACTGATCATCAATCATTTATTTTTAATCGAAATTTAAATCAAGTTCTGTTTGATATATTTAATTAAAGGTTTATTTAAACGTTCATTATATATGATATGATTTACTGTTAACGTTGATTGGAGCTAAAATCAGAACTAAAGGATCGGAGCTAAAATACTAATTTTCCGATAAAGATACTTTAATTAACGACTGAATAAATAAATTACATTCATTATCGATTAATCGATCAAATAAAAATTTAACTGTTAATCATGATCGTTATCATTTAATTGCAAATTTGCATTAAAAAAATTGTACGTTAAAACATTGAATTAAACGATGCGCAATATCGATAACGCTTTGCCGTGTCAACATTTTTTAAATACGCGAAAGAAGAATATTTGCCACGTTATTTCCTGTTAATGAGACTTTTTATGATGACGTTCAAATGTTAATCTGCCACAGTTCTTTCCAAGTATCGTAGCTAATGACTCGCGGAAATCATCGGATCGTGAAACATGGAATATCGCGATTTATCTATATTTATCCATATAATATTTGTTACCAAAGAGATAGAGCAGTGTTGGAAATCACTTTCACTCTCTTTTCCGCTTATGCGTATCCTATTGTTTCATCTAATCTAATTAATATGTTTATGAGAAAAAAAAAAAAATAAAAACGAATTGGAGACGAGAAATCGAAAAAAAATTGCTTTCGATTGTTAAACGAGGCTTTATCCCAGTTAATTGGAAATTTAGAAAAAATACAGGATTAAAGAATCTTTGATAAAAGCAATAATTAGCTCTTATTTATATAGTGCTATTAATCGTGCTAATTAATGTCACATTGAACAACTTCAATTAACATATTATATATAATTAAAAAAAAATTCTGTTAGAACCTGTTAGTGAATATTAATATATATATATTAAAACAATTTACATAAAATAATTACTATAATAATGAATATCGTACAAGGATTGAAAATATGATGCAATCTTGCACAAGATCTAATTCTCCGATGAAACGAAAAATAAATAATAAAAAGAAAATATCAGATATGTAAACTAAAATAAACTATTAAACTAAAATAGTGAGAGTGATTAGAAATATTATAAATATTGAAAGAAGAAAGAAATATTATAAATAAGAAAGAAAAATTAATGCTAAAACAAAGATAATATTACAACATATGAAACATGTATAAAAATTCATAAATATTTACGAACATATTTAATATTAAAAAAAAATCTGACCGTCTATGTTTCATCATCGCGTTCTTGGAACGAATTATTGAAATTGTTTACAAAGTCATATAAACGATCGGTAAGTAGCTAATAAGTAACTAATAATAATAAGATGCTATTTATCTGTATATGTATATATGTACGTTATTCACTGCGTGTTAACCATTTGTTACATTTAGCATTACGCTAACTTGAACTCGTTCAATTTCCGAGTTCCGCATGACACGTGAACAGATCACGTGATAAACTAGATTCAAATGGAATTGGTACAAGTGACGACGCAAAAGACGTTTATTATATCGCGAAATAATTGAGACAATGTTATGAATATCTATATCTATATCTATATAAGATCGCGTTTAATAACTGGATGAACATGATATCGAAAAATTCGAGTCGAAAATCGCATTTTCGTTGTTGCAAAATCACTTCTGGAATCCATTAATAAAATATCGATATATATCGCGCGAAAACGAAAGGAACATGGAACGAGAATACTACGCAAGCTATGCAAAAAAAAGCACCCTTCGAATTTCTACTGCCTATTATTCGATAATGATATGCAATTGAGATTAAAGTAATTGTCATGTTATTAGTTTCATCGCGTGCAAATCAAATCGTAGAAATTCGAGCAACGTATACTGTCAAGGGGGAACGTTATTGCATACCTTTCGTGGCGTGGGGCTGCGCACGAAATCATCGAAATTCGCGCACATGGCGGCCTAGCTCGCGCATCGGAATTATATTCACAATAAAAGATGATTTATTGACATACCTTTGTGTCTCGCGATGTGTGATAGTAGTAAACAAAGGCAGACATCCACGCGCATGACAGCAGCAACACAATTTTCACATTTCGCCGCATCTCTGTCGAGTATCTTGTCAATCTTGCCCCACGTCCTCGTCGTCCCGTTGACAATCTTGTTACACCACGTACGTCCACGTTTCACGTGCAGTGTTTCGTTCGCAAAAAACGGAGCACGCACACCCGCCGCCAACTATGCACTGTAACACCGTGAACAAACACCACTAACGCGAACGAACCGGCAGCCAAAGCCATACTGTCCGGCTTCGACGAGAACGGCGGCTATGCGGTCACTCCGAATGCTGCGCAACTTCTGAATCCCCACGCCAGGCGGCGCTGCGAACACAGCTGTAACGCCCACTATCTTTATTGGCGCTAAATTTTAAATTGCATATGATGGCTTATAAATTTTCAGTTCGGTTTTATGCTGATCTCTCTATGCAAAACGACGTAACTATTGAATATATAGATAAAAATAATCGTATAATAAAAGAATAATATTCATTTTTGTTAACATAATGGATCAAAAAAGAAATAACTTTTAAAAATAATATGATATCTTGTATCTATATGACGAAATTACTAAAGTTCGTTATCGTAAGATAGATAAACATAATATAGATCTTAAAAAGATGAAGAATTTATACTACATAATTTAAAAATTTTTAACATTCTATATTTCATTATAATATATAATTAAATTAATTAAACTCCATAAATATTGTTTGATCAATAATGTTCCAGATTCTGATTTATATTTCTCAAATAAAATTAGAATTTATAATTATTTTAATCTTGTCTGAAGAAGTTGAAGGCGATATTTTTTAATCCTAATTAAAAAAGTTTATACTTTAAATAATGTTTAAATAACGTTTTAAGATAAAAAAGAAAAAGTTTTAAACGAAGCATCAGCATATTAAACATAAATTGAATAACTTAAATCCTTCGATTAAATCTAAGCGGAATCTTTTATAAATATTAATTATAAAAGAATACAATATATTTTATGAAACGTATTGCTTACGTGTAGTAAAAATGTGTGAGAATAGACGTGTAACCGATATTGGGTGGATATCGATAAGTATATACAGAAATACGCCCACTTTTACTCGAAGATAGGCCTGGTTTCTGATCATTCGATGCAGTTCATCTCAGGAAAGATCGTGTGTAACATTCGGCAGGAGATGTTTCAATAAAATTTCGATCGATCACATTTGTGACGATATGGCAACGAGATCGCAATGGTTGTTGTTGACTTGGTTGGGATTCTGCACGGCATGGATGGACGAAAGGTATGGAGAACGCAATTTCCGTCAGATACAATCTTGTAACCAGAGAAAAAGAAACTTTGTGACCGTGCAACATTGCATAAACGTAATTTTTAACACATCCCAGGCCTGTGCTAGAGTCTCGAGACGGAAATCTGTTCATTTCCGCGGCGAAGGACAGGAACATCACCCTGAAGACTCTAGGGAATGGTTACGTGAACGTGAACGAAATTAATTTGCTTCACGTTGCTATCGCTGTAAATAAAAAAATATTTTCTTCAAAAATTGCTCGAATGATTTACGCTTTGATGGTGTAAATTTTGGTTCATTTTTAGGCGCAAAGCGCGACGCGTTTGATCGAGAGATGGAAAACCGGATATCTGGCCGACGTGGAATCGAATTTACAACGTTTGACACAAATTGTAGAGGGTCCGGACGGTTTAGAGAAAAGAATAGCTATGATGAGAGGATTTGAAGGGAACAGTACACAATCGGAAATTCTTTCGATGAATCAAGTAAGCATCTTCGAGACGAGAAACCAATTTTTAAAACTTAATACGACTATAATTCGACTAATTACTTACAGACTGCACTAATGGTAAATATGAGGATACGGATGCTACTTCATCGAGTATGTATAAGAATTTTAATAAACTATGCATGTAATTAATAGAATGCATATATAAAAATCGTTGACATGTTTCTAGATGCTACAAGTGGAAAATAAAATAAAATCTATAGAATGGAAACTGAGGATAAATGAATGCGCTAGTAATCCTTGTATGAATGGTGGAACGTGTTATGATCTTTACGAAGGATACGAGTGCCACTGTCCATCAAATTGGGAGGTGAATATTTATAAGAATTGAGGTTTCTAGCTTTTCCTTTGATATAAATATATAAATATACGATGATATACTAGGGACCAAATTGTATGGTGGACGTAAACGAATGCGTTCGATTGCTAGGAACAGATCTCGGATGTCAAAATGGAGCCACTTGTCGTAATCTTCCAGGATCGTACAAGTAAATTTTCGATTAATTCTTCTTCCGAAGATCAATGATATTTGATGTTTATCAATTATATATCTTCAGATGTGAGTGCGCGACAGGATGGTATGGTCTCCATTGCAAGAAAAAGTCTTCCGTTTGCAACACTCAAAATTCCAACGAGCTTTGCGGCCACGGTGTATGCGTGAGCAAGCTTGGAACACCGCTCGGTTACACCTGCATTTGCGATCAAGTGCGTAACAACGAATCAATCGCTCGACAACGATCAAGATTCCCTTCTACAACCGATTATTTTCCCAGGGTTGGCAGTCAGAAGGTACTAATCCAGCTTGCATCAAGGACGTGGACGAATGCGCTGGAAATCATAGACCGTGCTCCGTGAATCCCTGGGTTGCTTGTCGAAATGCGCCTGGAACATTCTTCTGCGATTCCTGTCCTCGAGGCTATACAGGAAACGGGTACTATTGCGCCGACATAGACGAGTGTCAGGTGAACAACGGAGGCTGCAGCACGTCCCCTCTCGTCCAATGCATCAATACCATGGTAATTTAAATCCTATTCGATCTCGAGATTTCTTCCAACTTCCCTATGACAGAATCGCAATGATCGTTGACAGGGTTCGAGAATGTGCGGCGCCTGTCCCACGGGATACCGCGGGGACGGTGTGACATGCGTCTACGTAGGTAGTTGCGCGATCAACAACGGAGGTTGCCATCCATTAGCCACGTGCGTCGAGAATTCAGCACTTACGAGCGCCTACGTGATCTGTCGATGCCCACACGGCACAACGGGCGATGGAATCGGACCCAACGGTTGTCGAGCATCGACCGAGGCGTCTCCCTGCTCCAGTAATCCCTGCGTGCACGGCAAGTGTACCGCCGTTTTGGGCACCTACTCTTGCACGTGCGATCCTGGATACACCGGTGGGCACACACTTTGAACGATCAACGATCTCTGATTAACGATCAACGATACATCTCAACGATTATCGTAGGGGCAACGTGCAACGTGAAAATCGACTCGTGCTCCCCGAATCCTTGCAAGAACAACGGTGTCTGCGCGGTTTCGAACGGCGTGGTGACCTGCGATTGTCCGTCTACGTACACCGGCACCAGATGCGAAACCCCGCGACAGACATGCGGCGGTGTGTCGCGTAATCCCGTGGGACATCTCGAATTCCCGATAGGCGGGAACGTTTATCAGCACGGGCTGAGCTGTGCCTGGGTTCTCATCACGAACAGCTCCCTCGTGTTGAACGTCACGTTCACTCGTTTTAATCTGGAGCACTCGACCGACTGCAAATACGACTTTCTACAGGTAATGGAAAGTCGATCCTTTCCTTTCTTCCTTGTCGAATTCTTCTTCTGATTCGACTCGAACGGATTTCATAGATACACGATGGTAGGAACGCCGGCAGTCAGATGATCGGCAGATTTTGCGGCCAAGAGTTCCCCTACGAGAACAAAAATATAGTGTCGTCTCACAACTCTCTCTACTTTTGGTTCCACTCCGATAACAGCGTGTCCTACGACGGATTCGCGTTTGAATGGAACAGCGTCAAGCCCATTTGCGGAGGTAGTTTGACGAACGATTACGGGACGATCAGCTCCCCTGGATCACCGGGAAGGTATCCGCCGAACAGGGACTGTTATTGGCAGATTACCGTTAAATCCGGGAAGAGAATACAGATCCATTTCGGCCAATTGATGCTGGAGGAGCATCCAACGTGCGGAGCCGATTTCCTCGAGGCAAGCGTGCCCCTGTCTTTCAATCCGTCAAAGCGAAGAACAGAAGATATATATGTACGTTGAACTTTGCAGATCAGCACTATACACGGGGAACGATTGGGACTTTACTGCAATCACTCGCATCCAGCTCCTCTCATCGTACCCGCCTCCAGCGTCGTGATCTATTTCCACTCTGACAGTGCTGGCCAAGACTCAGGCTTCCAAATTCACTACTCCGCCATCCAAGGTGAAGAATCCGACGAACGCATTCCTTTCGCTCTCAGTTCTCTAAAATTATAGGTTTCTCTTCGTGCAGGTCGTCCAGGTTGCAACGAAGTGTACACTTCTCCCACTGGTATCATAAGAAGCCCTACGTCCGCTGAGCAGTGGGAAGATTTGGAATGCGAATGGAAGATTCAATTATCCGTTGGAAAACGAATACAAATTTACTGGACCACGTTCGAGCTTTTGAAGAACAACTGTCATATGGAATACGTCGAGGTTGCATCCTTCCAATATCCATTCCTCGTCTTCGTGAAAATATTTTAACGATATTGTTATTCTCGTTTAGATTTACGACGGCGAAACGAGCGAATCTCCATTGATACAACGATACTGCGGCAACTCGATTCCACCCTCAATCACATCGAACTCGAACGTATTGTTGATAATCTTCAAGTCGTACGCGTATCAAATAGGCGCATTCTCACTTTCGTACAAAACGATATGCGGCAAGATATTCACCGACGTGTCAGGCGTCATTCAATCGCCTACGTATCCTCTCTTGGAAATTACGAAGCAGTTGTGCACCTACGAGATCAGGCAACCACCGAACAGGAAAATCGTGTTGAAAATATTAGACGTAGATATCAACAATTCGTTGAAGAAAAAGTGCATTTTCAATTATCTCGATGTGTTCGATGGACCCAACGAGAACTCCACCCATCTCGCCAACCTTTGCAAAACTACCGTTGACTTGACGTATTATTCGACGCACAACGTAATGACGCTTAAGTACTCGGGTGCAATGGGAAAACGCGGTTTCATGGCGAATTACACCACGACTGAGATAGGTGAGCAAAACTTTGTTCACACAGAAATTTATTACGAAGAGTATCGTAAAGCTCGAATGAAACTCGATCATTTAAACTCTTACTCTTGTTTGAGAGCAAATATAAAGATTAATACGAATTCAGTTTGGAAAGATCATCGAGAGATATTTTAATCTTTTATTTATTTCGAATATTTATATCCAAAGGATGCGGAGGATTGTTCACGGAGCGTACCGGGACGATTCAATCACC